AAATCGAAACTTGGTGTTGAGGTAGAAAAGCAGCAAACGACTGTGGGTAGCATACCGAAACGTTGGTAACACAGTGTGTGAGGAGAGCAGCGGAGCTGTAAATCGAAAGTACGGGATAGATTGAATATCATTATGAATATATGGTAATGAGTAGTTGGATATAACAGGAAATTCACAAATTGATACGATCAAGAACCACGTAAAAAAGAAGGTACGGATTCAACTTTAACCCTAAAAATATGAATGAACGACCGATCGGTTAGATCTCAAAAATGAATAACGAAAGCGAGCAGCAGGCGGAACTCGAAGGAGGAGAATGAGAATTCTACACAGGACTATATCAGTCCTGGCTGCAAAATCACTTGGTGAAGTATCCAAAACCAACTGTTCAGAGGTAAGTTTGTGGTGAAGAAGATGAGGGTGCGTACGAAAGTGGTGAAAACAAAACTGAAGCCGAAGATACCGCCACGGAACTGAGAGAAATAAGGATTTGGAACTAAGTATTGGCTTATGTGTAGAAAGTGCATGCTGCAGCCATGCATAAGCGGTGGAAACGTGGACCGTAAGCCGACTGTACAGCCTGACATTGAAGTCGTTGAAAACAAGTAGCTGTTTGCTGATACATGTCTTGTTCTTATTCACGAATGAGTCGGTATATTTAGTCAGTTCCTGGGTTGGGTATGAAATGTTTCCGTTGATAAGCGACAATATGACTGAACTTCGTTAGGATGGGAAGGTACCTGGATTTAAGGAGAGGGTAACTAATTACGCAAGCAATATGGGGAAGTCCAATCCGATGCGTTTGATGGGAATACCTTTTATTCCGCTCACTTTTTCACCAGGGGGGTTTGAGTGATTTTGCTGCGCCAATATTACTTACTTTCCGAATCTGCGGGTACGATCAGCGAAGGAAAGGTTAATTGTTTCACTTAGTGGTCCACACATCTCCACGGGGTCTGAAACTGTGATGCTGTTCAATATGAGCAAACCCAGTAGGTAGGGCCCGTTACAAAGCCTGCATTTGGGGGGGGGGGTAACAAGAATCACTTGCTTGTCCGCATGCTTTAGAATTTTACTTCCAACGAAGTTCCACCTTTTTTTCTGTGAGCCTCCAAGCCACCGAGAACTGTTTGATCACCAAGAATGGCGGAAAACTCCTAGCCTACGAAAATTTATCTCCTCAGTCACCTTAGTTCACGCCCAAAAGCAATGGAAATATAGTCCTTGCCGCAATACATTGATTTTGTGGCCTCTCTGGGGCTGCGGAACCGCTGCAAGAGGTTCAGCTGATATAGAAGTTGGGAGGCGGACTGGGAATTAGTCCCACTCCAGGAAACGAATCAAGTATCGTGAATATGACCGGACTATGTCAACTAAACTTTCGCGAACTAATGTTGTAGACATTTGTAATATAGTGGTGTACCTACATAATGCAAGCAGCTGACTGGCTGCACTCTCACTTCCTGGAATTCACCGCTTGTGTGTACTGTGGAAGTTAGTGCATTGCTTGAAACATAAGGTCTAATGTATCATTTCTTGTAGTACAACCGTTAACTGCCTGGGCCCATCCATTAGCTTCCAGAACCTGAAATGAGATGGCCCTTGAAGTGACCTCATGTGACGCCTGGTGCACTAAAATCACCACCTGATAGTGTAAAAGTCGGCAGGGACTACGGCTGCTTGAATATTTCGTTTGTGTGTTTACCAAAGGCAGGATCAGCGTACGGCGACCAACAAAGGCAACCAAACGCAATTGTGTGATGCCAGCAAGTGTTAATGTTCACAAATACCGTGTCATACAAAGGTCCTCGAATGGTGGTTAGCCGTGAGTGGATGCCTCTGCGTTAAAATTAACCTTATTCGATCAAAGTGAAGGTAGATTATGCAGCTAATAATGCATATTTATAATATTTATCAGGTTTCAACCTAGTGGAATTTTGGTGAAGAAGGTGTACTCTTAAAATACGCATAGCTGACTCCACAGACATCGCGAAATTCTAGCCGCCAAACGTTTCTAATCCATTGGTGTCAGACTACGTAAAATAGAAGGCGCAGATGAAGATAATGTGTAATGCATTAGCATCACGAAGGGCCCCGAAATTAACAACCAGCCGAGCATAATTCAAACATAGCACAAAACGACAAACGTGCATTTATGTCGGCGTCAAATCAAGAACTATAAATAGAGTAAGAAACGACACACCATGGGCAGATGATTTTTGGAGTAACATACTGGCCCTCATGTGAACAGATTCCCTCTAAGCTTCATTCAAACGACCTAGTTCCAATAAAGTCCCGTGAGAGTTACGCACGAGGCACACGGAAAACGTTAACACAGACTTCTTCGGTGATAAGTTAAAACCGTTTAGTTTCCTGCAGCCGTTTCGGCTGCTCCACCTGATGATGCTAAAGGCGGATTTGGCCCTGCTCATGTTTCGTGGTGCTCTTAACCCCTCATAGATTACTACTATTATTTTTCCCTCGGGTTAACAGTGGAACATAGGACTTCAGTGGCACGCCTCCACTGCACTCTCTTCCCTGCATTCTTTTGGACCTGGCGTCCTTCAGTTCTCCCCCACACCATTTCCTCCATATCGCCCTCGGCGCCGACGCCCAACTCATCGTTTCCCCTTCAGCTTCCACTCGAGAACCCGGCGCGTGATGTCCCCAATCGGCCTTCCCAGTGTCTGCCCAATCCATCTCCACTTCCTCCCACACATTTGTTGAGCAACAGGTTCTTGGTTGGTTCGTCGCCAGCCAGCCAGAGTTCCTTATTGTTCATTATTTCTGGCCATCTGATCTTCATCGTCGGGCGTAGGCAGCTGTTGATGATGAATGTCTGTAGTTTGTCAGAAACGCTTTTCGTGACACGCCAAGTTTCTGAACCACATAACAGCACTGATTTGACGCTGGTGTTGAAAATCCGGACCCTGTTCTTTGTGCTGAGTGCAGTAGATCTCCACGCTGATTTCAGTTTAATGAGAGCCCCTCTTGCCTTTTCGATCCTGGCTACGACATCCTCGCCTTTGCAGCCTGCAGCTGATACGACGCTGCCTGGGTAGGTGAAAGAGACTACTTCCTCTATGTTTCTCCCATTAATGGTGCTTCTTGTCGTTGATTCTGTTATCGGTTTGATATCTTCACCACCGCCCTATTCTCTGCGTTCACTTGAAGTCCCGTTTTCCCTGCCATGCCTCTTCTGTCATCTTGTTAGTGCTCACCTGTCGATCTCCGAGGTTGTGTGGCATTAAACATAAATCGCCGGCTAAACCCAAATCTTCAGGGATCTCATCGGTCCAGCTAGCGTAAGTCCACCTTCTCACTCCTCACAGTTGTCCGTTGCACGATCTAGTGCAGTCGACCACAATCAGGAAGATTATGAGTGATAGTAGGCAGCCTTGTCCTATTCCTCTCTTCACTTCAAGGGCGTCACTGAGCTTCCCATTGTAGATCACTTGGCATTTGGCGTCTTCATGTGGTTGTTGAATGAGGTTGATAAAGATTTGTAGTACTGCTTAGTGTTGAAGCAACTGCCAAATTACTTGTCGGTCAACTATGTCGAGGGCCTTTTCAAAGCCGACGAAGTTGAGTTGGGGTAGAGAGCTGGCTGCCATTCTATACTCTGTTCTATGATGACGCATAGTGCAGCGCTGTGATCTGATCCCAAATCCCTTCCTTCATCTGATCTGATCTTGTGTCCAGTAGGCGGCTGTCTCCGCTTTCTTCACATTGAGATGACGTCCATCTGATTTTCAGTGTGTCCATCTGGTGGAATCAAGTGCATGTCACTGCCTTGTGAATATGCTTATGTTTGTACACACTGCCTCCAATCACCAAATCGCCGAATGCATAGAAACCTGTAAGCGGTTCTCTGTTCTCATTCATTTCACCGAGTGCCTCCGACCCACGATTAGTTCTCTTCTGTGTTGTCTGCTCCGAGTTTGGCATTCGTTTACCCATTAGAATGGATTTTGATGTCGTCAACTGTAGTCTTGTCTGCTACTGACTGCGGCTGTCTATAGAATTCCTCCTTCCTCTCTTCATCTACATTATTTGCTGGTGCACAGCGTAGCATTATATGGTTGTGACTTTCCTTCCTTTTGAACTGAATCTTGCTGTCATGATACTGATCTTGGAGGAGACTGGTTCCCACTGCGTTAGAGCCTTCGACGGTTTTGGAGACATAATGCTGGCCACTCGAAAACTCAGCGTGCTCGTGGTTTTCTTCTGCGTGACAATATCGGAGTAGATTATTGACTCCCCAGCTAAGAGTTCGGAGAGTTCACTTCCATTCCATCTGCTTTCGCAGATCCCAAGCACTTCCATGCCATACCTCCTCATCTCCTTTGCAATCTGGACAGCCTTGTCAGCCAGCTGCAAGTGGTGTTCGGACATTCTATGTCCCCATTCCTACTTTCACTTCCATCGAGAGAGAAGACACATCTGCCAATTGGCTTCCAGAAGGCTGGCTTTCACAAATCGGCGTCATTTCGTCTTCCAGATTCCAGCGAGGAATAAATTTGTTTCATTTTTATACTTTCTCTGTGCTTTGAAGTTTCTTTGGTGATTGGATTGGCTGCTAGCCGTATGCTCAACCTTCCCTCTTTGTCTGGGCTTAGGACTGGCTGGTAACTAGCGAACTAGTTAACCAGGCGAGGTTCCTTGTAGACTGTAGGTACCTATAATGTTAGAGAAGAGTTGAGCACTAATAATGATAAAGTTCAGAAAAATCCTGCTGTTAATTTTCTAAACAAGCTGGGATAATATTAAAACTTCTCTATATAATGTATAGTGAATAATAGTTTTGTCGTCTCAGATATCTAGGAATTGGGATGGTTTTGTTATGAATGTGTCTGTCGACAATGATGATCGAGATTCCGACAAAATTCATTCATTGTTAACGTATTATAAAGTTGAGGACAATATTTTTTGTGCGCTAAATTTCATTTACTTTCTGGCGGTATTTCAATACTGATTTTTATCTGAATTCAAGTGTGAGAATGGGCTGTATTGAGAGCAAAGAAAGTCGAGCTGCAACGGCTCGTTCTCGTGATATTGACAAAACACTAAAGGCTGATTGTGAAGCATCTAGCAGAGAGGCAAAACTTTTACTTCTTGGAGCAGGAGAGTCGGGGAAGAGCACAATCGTTAAGCAGATGAAGTAAGTTTCAAAGTATTTTCATTGGCAGGATCATACATATGTCGGGCTATTCTGAAGAAGAATGCAAGAAGTACAAGCCTGTTGTTTTTAGCAACACAATTCAGAGCATGGTTGCTATATTAAGGGCAATGGAGCAGTTGCAGATTTGTTGTGCTTGCCCAAATGCTATGGTATTAGTTTAAAGAATTAAGTTAACAAGGTTAAGAATGATATTTCTACAATTCTGAGCCTAACACGGACGGACGTTGAAGTACTCCCTGACGAGGTATTCAGCGCTTTGAAAAGACTATGGTACGACCCAGGTGTTCAGGTAGCTGTTAGTAGGTCTCGTGAGTTTCAGCTAAACGACTCGGCATCATAGTAAGATCTGTTGATGGCTAATATTGCAAGTTTTCTTGATTCACTGGATAGGTTGTCTAGTACGGGCTACATCCCAACTCAGCAGGATGTTCTTCGGACAAGAGTTAGGACAGGTGGGATTGTAGAAACCCACTTTTCTTTTAAAGGGCTTAACATAAGGTAATTTCAAGTTTGTTATTTTTGAATTTCTCAGGATGTTTGATGTTGGTGGCCAGCGTTCTGAGCGAAAAAGTGGATTCATTGTTTTGAGGGTGTCACAGCAATCATTTTTGTGGTTGCTATTAGCGAATATGATCTAACCCTTGCAGAAGATGAAGAAATGGTAATTTTTTAAACTACATTTTAATGAAATGTTTATGAATCTAAAATCACCTGACTCTAAAACTTTATGTACTTGTATATTTATGTATGTTTGCACTACTTTGGTTTTTAGGGAGGCACCCTGGACTCATGAGGATCAAGGTAAAGCGTTACACAGAAGTATGAGTGTGAGATTAAAGAAAAGTACAATGGCACTTGATGGATATGTTGTATCAGTAGTGACATCTACCTAATCTTGAACGTGAAATTGCAAGGTCTTTGAAGAGATGAGTCAGCATACTCAGACATGGTTCCTGTAGATGGTTTGTTGTAAGCTAACAAAATAGGCTGTAGTAAGTTATTTCGGCAGACCTTCAAGGCTACCAGTTTCACAGTAATACTTAAGTTGGGTAACGAAAAGTGTAGTAGGGAGGTTCTGTGTAAATAATTGACTGGCTTTCAAAACTTTAGTTGTCAATCAAGGGAGAAAATTACGTGGTAGTAATTGTTCGTTAGGTTAAAAATGTGATAGCAAGCGAATGCTATTGGACGGAAAACGTGACTATTACTTAGCCGTGTAGACTGCATGGCTGGAGTCCTCGAGACGATAGGAATCTACGGTTGAGGATTTTTGGTGATATTGCTCTAACCGAACATAGTGGCGCAGATGTATCATTTCCCAAGTCTTCAGTGTTCTCAGTAAACATTATTTATTTGTAACCTCTCTCTCACTCTTGTTACTTTTACTGTTTTTGTTCCCCTTTCTGTGTATGCTACTATTTGTCAGCCAAAAGGGATTCACTTCTATGCCAGGTTCTACATTGATAGACATGAGGTAGCCGCGTAGATTACAGGAATGTGGAAGTTTTGGTTAATTGATCTACCGAACTTGGGATGCCTAACGATTCGCAAAAAATTAAATCCGCTCAGTAATCTTGGTAACATTTGTGGAGTGGGCGATGAGCCACACCCATTGCGTCGCTACCCAAACCTTAATAGTCGGAGGAGTGCTCGCATCCGTGATCCATTGTTTGAAAGTCATTTCCTTAAGCCAGTGAGCCACAACTTCACATCCTTAACAACTATCAGTACTAGTGGTATTCGCCAGGAATGTCCACTGTCACTGTTCCTATTCGATTTCTTCATAAAACACCAATGGACATAACCCTATGTACGTCTGACTTCATAGAGATTGACCTACTCCCTAGAGTCCATCTGGTTGATTTGGAGTGTGGAGGCGTTATTGTTCTGTTGGATGAAGACACTGACCCGGTACAGGGCCTTTCAAAAGCGTTGAATAGAAATTTGAGTATGTTTGGCACAAATTTCGCTGGCACCTGTCAGATGTTAGATGATGGTCCAGGACTGGTCTAAAACCACTCCCAATTTAATGGAACAGAGTGAAGTGATGGAATGCGCCGAGCACTCCATTTATTTGGGAAGGTGCATCAGCTCGAACGGGTTGGTTACTGATGAAATCTCAGCTCAGATTAAGAAGACCTGTTTGGCATTTCCCAACCTGTATCATCTGTGGCTCCGACTGGCAAGATGTCAGACAATCTATCAAAGGAAACGTATACTGCGCTAAGGACCGTCCTGCCCTGTTGTACGACTGTGAGACATGGCCGTTAAAAGTAAAAGATATGAAGTGGTCACAGGGTTTTGATCACAGGTATCTTCGTAACATTACTATCATTCCATAGAATCACTATGTGAGCAATGTTGAGGTCAGGCAAGAAAGGCAAGTCGATTGATGAGGTTGTGAGCCCTAGTCGACTGAGGTGGCCTGGACGTGTACCATGCATGCCAAGCCTTCGCCTACCTCAACGTGTCATGCTACGGGAAGTTGGATTAGGTTGGGATACGGTTGTGTGTGTGACCAGACGAAGGTCTGGCACCAGTCAGTGAAGTCTATTATTATTTTTTTTTTATTATTAGTCCCTTGGGTTCCTAGTGGAACATAGGGCTTCAGTAGCACGCCTCCAGTGACCTCTGTTCTCTGAGATCTTTTGGACCTGGTCCCACGACAGCCCAGAAGCTCTCATTTCCTCCTCGCACGACCTCCTCCATGTCACCCTCGGACGTCCAACTCGTCGCTTCCCATGGGGATTCCACTCGAGGACTGGCCTGACGCGTGATGTCCTCAGTCGGCCTTCTCAGTGCATGGCCAATCCATCTCCACTTCTTCCTGCATATTTGTTGCGTGATAGGTTCTTGGTTGGTTCGTTCCCAGAGTTCCTTGTTGCTTATTCTTTCTGGCCATCTGATCTTCAGTAGCGAGCGTAAGCAGTTGTTGATGAATGTCTGTAGTTTATTGGAAATGCCTTTCGTGACGCGCCAAGTCTCTGAGCCATACAAGAGCACTGACTTGACGTTGGTGTTGAAAATCCGTATCTTGTTCCGCATGCTGAGTGCAGAAGATCTCCACACTGGTTTCAGGCTAATGAACGCCTGTCTTGCTTTTCCGATTCTGACTTTGACGTCCTCGTCCGTCCCGCCTGTAGTTGAAACAGTGCTTCCTAGATAAGTGAAGGAGGTTACTTCCTTCAAGTTTCTCCCGTTGACGGTGATTGGAGTTTGTTGTTGTTGTTGTTGATGGTGGTGGTGCGGTATCTTCATCACTTCTGTCTTCTCTATATTCACCTGAAGTCCCGTCTTAGCTGCCTCTTCTATCAACTTGTTAGTTTTTGCCTGCAGATCTTCAAGTTTATGTGACATTAGGCATAAGTCATCGGCGAAATCCAAGTCTTCTAGGTTCTTTTCCGTCGTCCAGTGTATCCCCCTCTTCTCGCTGCCTACTGTTTGCTGCATGATCCAGTCCACCACAATAAGGAATATCATGGGGGATAGTAGGCAACCTTGTTTCACTCCTGTCTTCACTTCAAAGGCATCACTGAGCTTCCCATTGTGGATTACTTGGCATGTGGCATCTTCATATAGTTGTTGAATGAGGCGGATAAAGGTTTGCGGTACTCCGTAGTATTGAAGCAGTTTCCAAATTACTTCTCGGTCGACGCTGTCAAAGGCCTTCTCAAAGTCGATGAAGTTGAGGTAGAGAGCTGATTGCCATTCTATGCTCTGTTCTATGATGATACGAAGCGTTGCAATTTGGTCTGCACATGATTTGTACTTCCTGAAGCCTGCCTGTTCCGGTCGCAGTTTTGAATCCAGTGCGTCTTTAAGCCTCTCCAGGATGATGCGGCTTAATATTTTACTTGGGGTGGACAGGAGAGTGATTCCGCGCCAGTTCTTGCAAGCACTGAGGTCTCCCTTCTTCGGCAGTTTGACAAGGTAACCCTTCTTCCAATCGTCAGGTACCTTCTCTTCCTTCCACACCTTCTGCAATAGTGGTGTGAGCATGTCCGCTGTTGTCTCTGCATCTGTTCTCAGTGCTTCTGGCGGTATTCCATCTGGTCCTGCTGCTTTCCCGCATTTCAGTAGCTTTATGGCGTTCAGGACTTCCATTTTCGTTGGGGGATTTATGTTCACTTGTAATTCAGCGGCTGCAGGTGGTATTTCTGGACGAAGTGCAGGTGGTGGTCGATTCAAGAGCTTCTTGAAGTGGTCGGCCCATCGTTTCCTCTGTTTCTCTTCTTTTGTAATTAAATTTCCTTCTTCATCTTTTATTGGTTTCATCTGTGTTGGTCTCTTCCCTGATAGCAACCTGGTTATTTGATACAATGTCGTCAGGTCTCTCTTACCTGCAGCCTGTTCTGCTTCACTTGCCAGTGTTTCGTAGAAGTGTCTTTTGTCTTTGCGTGCACTCTTCTTCACTTCTTTGTCCAGTGTTTTATACATTGTGCTCAGTTCCTCTTGTCGTTGAGCATCCTTGCACTGGTTTATCTTCTGCTTCACCATCCTCCTCTCCTCTATCAGCTTCCAGGTATCCGTCGAGATCCATTCCTTGTCTTCTTTCTTCTTCCTTCCTAATACTGTTGTGCAGGTTTCTTTCCACATAGCTTTCAAAGACTTCCAGTGTTCTTCCACACAGGTTTCTTCAGGGATGTTCCTCGATATCTCCCATTTTGTCTTGATGGCTGCTTGAAGATCTCCTTTGTAGTTTCATCCTTCAGTTTCCGAGTGTTGTACTTGAATTGAGGTCTATCACCAGCTTCCTTGAAGGCTTTTAACTTGATTTGGAAGGTTCCTTGCACTAGATAGTGGTCTGAACCTACATCTGCTCCTCTTCTTGACCTTGTGTTAAGTAGACTGCGTCTCCATTTTCTTGAGATTGAGATAAAGTCGATTTGATTTTTAGTGTGTCCATCTGGTGAAGTCCATGTCGCTTTGTGGATATCCTTGTGCCTGAACACACTGCCTCCAATCACCAAATCGTTGAATGCGCAGAATTCTGCAAACAATTCTCCATTCTCATTCATTTCACCTAGCGCCTCTCGACCCATGGTTAGTTCTCTTCCCGTGTTGTCCCCTCCCAGTTTGGCATTCATGTCGCCCATTAGAATTTTGATATCGCCAACTGACGTCTTGTCCAGTGTTGATTGAAGTTGTCTGTAGAATTCCTCCTTTTTCTCTTGCTCTGCATTATTTGTAGGTGCATAACATTGTATGATTGTGACCTTTCTTCCTTTTGAGTTGAATCTTGCTGTCATGATCCTGGAGGAGATTGGTTCCCACTGCATGAGAGCCTTCGATGCTCTTGAGGACATCATGATAGCCACTCCCTCAGTGTGCTCGTGGTTGGCGTCTGGGTGACCGGAGTAGATTATTGATTCTCCAGTTGACAGTTTGGAGAGTCCACTCCCATTCCATCTGCTTTCGCAAATCCCAAGCACTTCGATGTATACCTTCTCATCTCCTTTGCAATCTGGGCTGCCTTACTGGGTTCAAACATCGTGCGGACATTCCATGTCCCCACGTTTACTTTCGCTTTCATCAGGGAGAGAAGACACATCGGCCAATTGGCTTTCCGAAGGCTTTCACCAACTGGCGTCATTTCGCCTCTCCGATTCCAGCGGGGAATAAGTTTGTTTTCATTTTTTATATTTTGTTTGTGCTTTGAAGTTTCTTTAGCGGTTAGATTTGTTTTACGGGGTAGGGTTGCTAGCCCTATGCCCAACCTTCCCTGTTTACCCGGGCTTAGGACCGGCTAGTAACTAGTAAACTAGTTAACCAGGCAAGGTTGAAGTCTATTACTAGTCTGTTATTATTTTGAGTCGTATGGGAGATGTGAAATGTCCAGTTGGGACTCTGAGACGAAAGGAATTAGTTGTTGATAACCCTTGGTGACATGGCTAAAAATCGGTCACAGTGGCTCAGATATACTCACTCCTTAGCATCTTTTAACACTTGGATATTCGCAATAACCGTTACCTTCAAACTGCCTTATCTCTCAGACAACATTGTCTACTTTGATGTCATTCCTTTTCTATCCATCTTTTTTTTTACATGGTACTGTGGTATGTGGTAACTTGAATCGATGGACCTGTGTGAGAGGTTTCACGTTGATTTTTTCATCCACTTTGTCAGTACATGGTTGATAGGCTCATTGCCTCAAAGTGGGCGTTCGGTTGATTTACATGCTACGCAAAGTTGTCACATTGAATTCTCATTGGATATTATATTATGCCGCTATAAGCTGTCCTGAAGATTGTATGATCATGGAATCTGGTGGTTAGTGTTAACCATCAAGAATTTAGAACTTCAATTCTGAACAGTAATCCATTTGGCATTTGGGTTATGTTGTTAAGTCATACAGTAGGTATGAATGGTACCTTACTGTACGCAGACACCCAGTTGCTTGTCTTACTAATGCGTGGTTTTTTCTAAATATTGTTGTCATACAGAGGCTGTTGGTTAAATTTCACTTTAGGTCATCGATAATTGTGGTGTTCTTCAGAAATATATGCCTTGCAGATTTCTCTTTTTATGCTTTTTGGTACAGTTATGTATCGGTTTCGGTTATCCTACGATAAATGACTTGTAGATATTTCAACGTAGAACCTAAGAAAGAAGTGCATTGGTTCCGGTTGCCTCATTTAACATGACCGTTAAAGGGGAGGTGTATAGAAAAGGTGATATTTAGGTAAGAAAAAAAATGTAGAGACGACATAAATTGGTGAAGGCTAACAAAATGTGTATCACAAAGAGTGTATACGTCTCCATTACAACCAATTTTGAGCTATATCATCAAGTCTTAAATCATTGATTTATCTTGTTTCAAGAAGTCCTGCCAAGGAATCTAAACCTTCGCACAATGCTGAGAAAAACAGTTAAGGACTTCATGAACTGATGTAAAGTCTTGGTCTAACCATCATTAACATTTTCAGCCAAATTCTACTCAGGTTAACATCGAACACGAGGTAGATGGTGACTCTGTATGCGTAATGCACGTCGAAGCCACCTCACTTGTTGAAGGTTCACAAATTCACCCAGTGACTTGCCTTGGGTCCTGCAGCTAACCTTGATATTGCGCACGTAGTGATTCCACCATATGCAGACAACATTATGAAAATACCTGTTATCTACTTTGGGGGTACTGTCTTAGCCATATAACAAGATAGGATAGACTGCAAAGCAGCATACTAGTTCTTTAATCGGTAGTCGGAGATCTTGTCGGTGCCAAAAATAACCTAAGCTGGCAAATCTCAAGTGGCACTTTTGAGTTTGAGCTGAGATTACGTCAGCAACTGGTTCGTTTGGGTTGACACAACTCCCTAGTAGACGAAGTGGTCAACGTATTACATCCCTTAACCAGGAGCTAATGCGATCACAACTTTAAGACAAGTTAAAAATTCTACCGTATCTAGTAGTTACTTGAAATAACTGAATTTCATTAGTTCAGAATTGACCATTTTCAGAATATATGGGGCATTGCTATAAATATTAACTTTAAATTACCGTAACATAGTTCCTTGTGTTAATATACTCAGAGTCTACTGAAAACAAAAATGTGAGGTTTTCAGGAGCCTAATTCTTGGTGCTGTTTGTCAAACAATGCATACAGTGCCGTGAATGTCTTCATGACATGTTTTTCTAGACCTTAATACCAAGCAGCTTTAACCGTCTTTTCTCCATCTCCTTTATAACTCTAATAACTGCCAACAACATTTCGCTATTTTGTTTTAATTCCTAACACCTGCCTACTTGGATTTATAAGTTACGTCAAGTCATGTCAGCGTTTATCTGTTCTAAAGCCTGGTGAACTGAACTTCCGCAGCTTTTCTCACTATTAAGATTTTTGTGGTGTTTGTACTCTAATTGGTCAATTGTTTAGGCTGATATTACTGTTCTGTGAGTTGATCACTTTCAGAGGCTTGAGAGTGTGAATATTATCATATCAGTCATTTACCGTTTTCCGTAGAGGTACAAAGTGTCCAACTAGTATGATAAGTCCAGTGAAATCTGCCTTAGTAGTATCATTGTCAGGATTTTAATGAAACGTCCAGGATACATTATTCATTTTGGGACCTTAGTGTAATTTTTGTTTAGTTCAAGGTTTTGGTTGTAAGTAGTACAGCAATATTAAACCTATAGTAAAGAGAAAAACTGATAGAATATGGCAGAAGGTAAATAGAGTTGAAGGGATTTAAATTATCTATTCAAAATACAAGCCTGGTACGAACTATGCATTATAAAAAATAGCGTAACAACATTCGGAAGAAAACGTGATAAGGGAAAATTGAAAATAGAACATAAACGAAAGTGGAGGGGTTGTTACAAAGCAGCCTCAGAGGCAAATGTAAACAAACATCCACCACTTTCATTTTGCTTTTCAGCGATTTGAAGCGGAAAGAAGGCGACACCGTATTTTCCACTAATTTCAATTTCTAGCAGTTTCCACTATCTTCTGAAACCACTGAGTTGTGATATCTTTCAGACCTTATCCAAGAGGTCGTTAGGCGCCAACTGATGCGGCAAGCAGACAATGAGAAGTTTGGGGGCTGCTTTGATGACATAGCATGTGTTCACTCATCTGAAGCTACTGTTTCAGTACTACCTCATTCAACAAATGACGATCATTATTACACCCAAACACATGCTGCTTTACCGCAGAACTACTTACATGGTGTTTTCACTGAATGCAAACACTGGTGAATGCTTCCACTTCATTGAGAATAGGTTTGCTTTTCAGTTAACTCTTCCTCAAAACTCCGTTTTCTGTCGGATTATGTGTAGCCGGAGGTTATTTAATTTACTGTTAACTGGTTTGTGAGTTATTGAAAATGCTTACGCTGAGAATGTATCATCGAATCATCTTTTTCACTAGTGGTTTCCCAAGTATCCATATGGTATGCTTGAGGGTATCCTAAAACGGTTTCTGGTTTCCAATACAATAACTATATTCGCTACTCTTTAAGACCATTTTAAAGGGTTATTACACTTTCTGATATTTCTTCATCCGCGTAGCTTAATGTATGAATTTGCCTGATAACCGGTAATTTATGGGAACTACCAGGTTCTCTATTTCCCTCGAACTTTCAGTGATGTTTTATAGATTCCATATGTCTTCTGACAGTAGTCATGCTATACCATAAAGAGATACTGTGTCAAGTATCGTTTTTTGTGAAATGTTAGCAACCAAGCAACTCCACATTCGTCTTCAACTAATAATAAATCTAAAAAATATAATTTGACTCAGCAACCACGTGCAGCAGACAATGAGCCACAATTATTGTATGCTGGCTAATGGTACTGTCTGATTACCCAAACCTTGGTAAGTAAAGCATGTGTTGAATTGGTAACCCTCTTACTCAAAGTCGAGTCTATGGACCAGTAAACCACAGTTATTTACTTTCAACTGGGTAGTAGAGAGGTTTTTCACTCGCACAAATCATGCATCTACTTTGGTGTTAACACAACTACCGAACTCAAAACTGATTAAGTTGTAAATAGGTGTTTTGAAAATGTGGAACACTAGCAGTTAATGTTGGCGATGTCATCATTCTGTTGGGTTGATGCATTTAGTTAGTAGGTTACAACACACCATTTCGGGTTTACTTATTTTTACCATGAGCCTAGTATTTTTGGGATATAACTAAGAGGAATATTAGCTTCTTTTCTGATTTTAAATGCATCATTTCAGTGCGTGGCTCTAGAGCTCAATAAGTGTTCCTTGGGAACCGTGGCAATCTCCGCATTGAAAATCGTTACTTTAAAACCCTCACAGTTCTTGACAGTGACGTTACTTCACCCGGTAATTAAACGTTCACAGCTAAAAACCAGCTTGTGGTGAACATTTGGTTGCCTTTTACGGCAGTGGCAGTGCGTGTCATTTGTACTCGGACTTCAGCACCATGGTTAGTCCATCTTTGGAATTGCCCGTGTGAAGAGATCGAACATGTACGTAAACTAGTCGTATCGGATTAGAATGGCACGTTTTTTCAACGCAAACCGTTTGTCTGCATTTTTCACCTCTGAAATAAACGAAATGCTACATCGTCGCCTTGTATCGAGTATGATTCTGTAATGGTTGTGTGCATAAACCAACTATATTCACTGGCAATTACGATTTGTTGTTTGTTGCCCAGACTTATGTCTCATGAATTACATTGCAAATCGAATACCTTGGTTGCGTACACAAAGTAGGTTTCGACCAGATGTTGAGCAGCAGTCTATCTGACGTTCAACTTTAATACTTCAGCAAGCGTCACCAGAGGTTTTCACATATCGCCTTCATGTCCTTAGAGTTATGTTCATCAGATATTTAAGAAGTACGAACAAAACTGGGAAAACTGATTCTCTAAAGGTGGGTGGGTAAAGATAATACTACCCTCACTTCTCTGTTTTGGTCCTAATCATTGTCGTTTACTTGAATTTTTTGTTTCAGAATAGAATGATGGAATCTATGAGACTTTTTAGTTCAATATGCAACAACCAGTGTTTCGCAGAAACAAGCATCATTCTTTTTTTGAACAAGCGAGATTTATTTGAGGATAAAATTATGAAATCCCCATTAACTATATGTTTTCCGGACTACATTGGTGAGTTTAATTTTACGTTAAGTGCTTCGTGTTTTCCATTTCCGTTAGTGTTTTTTAAACTTGTATGATCGTTTTTGTTATATTAAAATGATGAGCAAACGTTGCAAACAACTTTCATTTCATTCTCATAGTGGGTTAGGTGGCTTAGCAACAAAAGCAAGAAAAATAAGGTGGCTCTTGGTAAAGGTATTTAAATTATCGATACTTCTTTCATCCATCGTTTCTGCCTTTCTGTTAATGCCCCGTATTTTTGCATACTGGAAATCATATTTTCTTGATATTACTATAAAGAAAGCTCAATAAAAGATTCCTGTACAGTATCCGTTTCATAAATGAAGAGATAGATTCCCTTTGTTAATGGTACTTGTTGGAGCTCTGGGTTTGGAGTTATCTCAGTTAACATTATTGTTAAACATTAGGCAAAAATGTGGTATTGAGTCTACTACATGAACCTGTATATTCTTAGTACGTTGTACATTATTTATTTCACGACAATGAAAGTCACAAGAGATCACTCTTGAAGAGGATCTTCCTATCAAGACAAACACATTGAGGAATAATTCAAAATATTTGTCTGTTTGTTCTAATATACTACGCTAGGATTACACAAGTAAAATACACCTTATACGATGGATTATAAAGTATGTATCAAATTTTGTTTAATGCACGTAGAAACTATGTATCATTCAGAAGTAGCGTACAGATTTATATACTAGGCTATGAGTCATACTTGACTGTCGAAACGTCGTTTGGTGAAACGATGATGCATTGGTTAAACGTTGAATACCCGAACCAATGGGCCATATTTCATTTTGAAATCTCAGTTCTAATGTTCATGTATGCTGAGACGTAGAGATCTGCATAACTGCTCAGTGGCATTTGATCTTACGTAAATGCGTTAGCTGTTTAAACGTTATTTGATTCGGTGAACAGAAATGAACAGTATCAATATGTGATAAATAGAAAATTAAATAAAAATTAGTTTTTGTGTGTAGGTTTTGTAATTATTTGAATAACTGCAACTCACGTAGGCTGATTTACATTTCAGAAATTATATAGAGGCATCTTGTTACTCTTTGGTTAGCTATTAATGGGATATTTCATTCAACACTTTGTTTTACTCATTCATCTAAGAATATAAGTTGGCGATTATGCTTTTATATCTTACTGTTGATTCTTCACAATAGCTAGTTCATTTGGAAATATCTCTTTGCATTCTTTGGTTAGGGCTTCTGAAACACTCTGTAATGTAAAGTATTCTCGAAGCCACGACTGGAAAACTGTTCCGAACGCATCTCCAATCTGCTGTAAAGTCAGCGATCAAGACCGTAACTGACTCAAGAAAGCCAGAAAGGACTAGTGTGTCTTGAGAGCTTCTGGAATTAATACATGAACCTGCACGTATTCGTGCAAACTCCGAACATAAAGGGAGCGGAAGCAACTCAGACGTAGACTGACAAGTGTACGCAATGACCGGGGGCAATGGTAGATAAGGCGAACTGGAAAGATAGAATAGGCGGTGGCAATACAGTTACATAGACTGATCATGGAAACGGACGAAAGAAAGTCAGTAGTCAGTGAGATTATAGGGAAGAAGGGCAGATGTGCGATTTACGCTCAGACGAGACTATTGGAAGGACTACCATTCCATCCCGAGATATCGAGCCAGATCTTGAGTGGAACATGGAGACAGGCCTCTGAACTCTTGCAAAGGTTCAGAAAGTTGTAAGCGACCTGAAACGAGGAAGAGCAGAAGAACCAGTTGAGCTATCACCAGGGCCATTTAAGGACTGTGGTTGGAGATTATTGGTTTTATTAAGGAAAGTGTTAGCTAGTGTATATGACTTATATGTGGTCACTTCTAATTGGTTTCAACCACCAACTGTCCCAGCCTTCAAGAAATGAAAAGAATCCTCCTAAAATAACGAGAGGCAATAAACTTGACGAGTATATTACCTAGGGTCCTAGGTTCTGTAATCATTATATGGCGAAAAGAACCTTGGGAACAGCAAAGCTGAGAAAGTTATAGAGCCTTCAGGGCCGAGATACCGACTAGATATTCACTGTACCCCAGGTTCTGGAACATGAACTACTTAGTGCTACCCAATTCTAACTATTTATTGACCAGAAAGTGGGCTTCGATAATGTCGATCAACTGGTTTTATGGTATTCTCTCACTGAAAGAGGTACCAGGTAAGTACAATCACCCATGGACATGTTAGAACCTATGATGAGTTATGCTGATCTACTGGTGTCTGTCATGGATGTCCACTCTTTCATTTAAGTTTGTCATAGATATGCTTATAAAGGTCTATTTCTCCTCATCTGACTTTACAATTGACTTTGTCGCAGGAAACTGCTTAGTAGACATAGCGTACGCTGAAGAGCTAGTTTGGCTAGGTGAAGATGCTGTCAAGATGCAGTCTTTTGGGTACATTGAGTAGCGATTTAAGGATATTTGGGATATCTTCCTCATCAGTGAAGTGTAAATTGTCGTTCCAGGAGTGGCTTTTGCTATCAGCTTGTCTAGTAACAAAATTTGAAGTGATTGAACGCGTTGACCACTAATTGGGAAGTCGGATCAGTCCTGATGGTTAGGTGATGATGAAATCTTCGCACAGATACAAAAAGGTCGCTTGATTTTACCAGTCTACGCCGTTTGTGGCATCTCTGTGACTTGTAGCTGCCTATTAAGTTCTGGGTGTAGTGCACTAAAGATTGCTCTGTTCTACTATATAGATGTGAAACAGTCATTGAAATTAAGTTAAATGAGGAGGCTTCAGGTGTCTGACCAATATCCCATTCGTAGCATGAGACGTCTGTCATATTGTCACCACACATATCACTTGTGTCGGAGAGGAAAGACAGTTGATACTTTTCTAACCTTTATCGCCTGAGTCGGCTGTTACACACACCGTGCATACTTAGTCACCGTGTCATGTTAGACGACCACAAGACGGTATGTAATACACTCATTGCTATAGATCTATCTGTTTCAAGAGAGCATCGTTGATTGTTGCTCGGAATGTTTCGTGATGAGTTATTGTGACTAGTTCCATGGTAATACATTTTTGGTATTTTTCTCAAAATACTTAGGTTGTCCTAATATTTGAAGTTCATCTGTGAGTGTCACATTTCACTAGATATTTGAAAATTATCTGTCTGAAATCGAACGTTCTGTTCATTCGAAGTTATTAGCTAGTAGTTTCCAGTTTTACGCTGGACATCGACCACATTGATCGATGTGTCTTCACAATACTTGAACATCGAAAAGTAGTCACGTGGTGAATGTACACTCTGAAACAAGCGTATTCGGTGTCACGTACATCTTAAAAGGAAATGTGTTAAAATCGTGCCTGTGTCACTCACCTGAAATGGTGTTTAAGAATCACTTGTCGTTTTAGAATATTTGTAATCTCATCGATTTCGGTCCTGGACATAGACACCCATGGACGGAGAAAAGTAACTGACAGGAAAAAAATGTTCGTTTTTAGGTTGGTAAATGTTTTCGGAGTGAAAACATATGTAGTTGTCTGAACTTTCGGGTAATATTACAACCCTCATGCAAATCAGTACGTGACACTTCGTAAGGAATTCAAGTTATTCATTTAATCTAACGAAACGCGCTTGGCCGCCTTGTGCAAATCTGTGTAGGCAGTGCGTCACGCTTATTGTGTGTGGGGGTTAGTGATATTATCTGGCTGACAAAACCACTGTAGGTGGAGCGGGGCTTGAACCTAAGACCCATCTCCCTAAATCTCTGAGTCACAGCTCCACACAACTCAATCTGTTATCAGCTAACCGAGTATATTTCATCATGAACTCTATACACATGTGCTCTGTTGGTTTCAATTCTATTTTTGTTATATATTCTCGTAAAGTGTATCGTTCCACTGATAACATTTTCAAGTATAATGCCTTTCCATTCAACCGCTTACTGTTTGCTAAAATTCTTGTCTATCGTTGCCGTTGCATCACATATCTTTGGCTCTTTTACCCTTCTTTTCTTATGACTTCTTGCAACTTTCGGTCACGTCATTTCTACTTGCATGTCTTTCTTTTGTCACCTACTATCTTGATGTGCTGACGTTGGTTGTGGCATTTGGAGCAGTTACATAATAATGTCGGGTTCTGTGCTAGTACTCACTCACTGTATCTGTACACTTATTTGCTAGATCAGATTAGATACATTTTGAGTCACTGACCGTAGAGGCGTATTTCAATCGGAAATCTGATGTAACTATCGTCAGACTATACATACTCCTTAAGCTTCCTGCCTTCAAATTTGACGTCGATGCATGTTAGATAAAAAGCACATTCGGTTGGGTTGCCAAGTATCCTAATTGGTGTGCACCATATTTTATAAATGACGTAAAAAGTCCCAATGAAATGTTTTCTATCATTTCAAGAAGTAAGTTTAATAAAACTGACATTGATTGACAAAAATAACTTAGAACCTGGCACACAAGCCCCATCGGTTCAAGTTACCACTTACCACAGTACCATGTTAAAAAAAAAGATAGATAGAAAAGGAATGACATCAAAGTAGACAATGTTGTCTGAGAGATAAGGCAGTTTGAAGGTAACGGTTATTGCGAATATCCAAGTGTTAAAAGATGCTAAGGAGTGAGTACATCTGAGCCACTGTGACCGGTTTTTAGCCATGTCACCAAGGGTTATCAACCACTAATTCCTTTCGTCTCAGAGTCCCAACTGGACATTTCACATCTCCCATACGACTCAAAATAATAACAGACTAGTAATAGACTTCACTGACTGGTGCCAGACCTGCGTCTGGTCACACACAACCGTATCCCAACCTAATCCAACTTCCCGTAGCATGACACGTTGAGGTAGGCGAAGGCTTGGCATGCATGGTACACGTCCAGACCACCTCAGTCGACTAGGGCTCACAACCTCATCAATCGACTTGCCTTTCTTGCCTGACCTCAACATTGCTCACATAGTGATTCTATGGAATGATAGTAATGTTACGAAGATACCTGTGATTAAAACCCTGTAACCACTTCATATCTTTTACTTTTAACGGCCATGTCTCACAGTCGTACAACAGGGCAGGACGGTCCTTAGCGCAGTATACGTTTCCTTTGATAGATTGTCGGACATCTTGCCAGTCGGAGCCACAGATGATACAGGTTGGGAAATGCCAAACAGGTCTTCTTAATCTGAGCTGAGATTTCATCAGTAACCAACCCGTTCGAGCTGATGCACCTTCCAAATAAATGGAGTGGTCGGCGCATTCCATCACTTCGATTCCTCTCATTAAACTGGACTGAGAGTATGATCCTAGCTATCTCGCAAATTCGCGGTAATGTTAGGTGACAACATAATACAAACGTCCACATCTTTTGATCAAGTAGAAATTTTAGAAAAAGTTCACTTACGCGAAAGCACAAGAAATGCAGTCACTTTTTGAAGCTCATGAACAAGAATTTGTAAACTTATGCATACGTTTAATGTACTTGTTCGCAATGTGGTTGCCATATATTTGGTTTCCTTCGCAGATTTTGGGAGTTGAGCCTACTTAGCCTCTAATGTGAATAATTCACAATTTTTGGGTAAATGACAATCAGTTTCTTCACATTTGTAGTAAAACGTCTAAGGTGTCATAGTTTTAAGATCGTTGATGGGATCATAGAGTCTGATCAATTAACAAGCAACCTTCTTATGCATTGCCCAGATTAAAGTGTCACGATTGTTTCGGTTTAGATGCAAGCTGCATGGCACATTCCATTTTCACTGGTTTATTTTGCAAGGGTGTTCGATAACTCTAGAGGCTGTATCTATTACTATGTGAATGGAGTCTTGGTGGTTCACACTGTTACCCCGATTCTTGTTCACTTTAGTGTTTACCAGTTAGTTAACCGGTGTAGCTGTCTAGTCCTTACTGCCTAGTGGTGATTGAAGACTGTAGATCAAGCGTGAAATCTGGCCAGGAAGCTAAGTGAGACAACATTTGTGTTCAGGGTTCGCCAATAATTTATTTCTAACATCTGACATTTCAGCGTACCCCAAGGGTTGGTTTTACCTGTCTGGTTTGTGTGTGATTTAAAAGTTTGTTTAAATGCACCTGTGTAGTTCTGAAACATTTGATACAAAATAAACTGGAATAATTATACGATATAATTAATATGACTTTACCTGAAATTTAATAAACGTTTTCAGAATACTAGTTGTAATAGGTGGACAGTATTTTATATCTTAAGAAATATTTTAAGGTAACCTGTAGATTTTTACACTAGGTACCTAGCTTTACCTATCATGTTGAAGGCTGAAGGCTAATGAAACTATCTGACTTCAAATTTCCTAAGTGCGGCAGGGCTTAATTAAAGACTGGGTACCGAAACAAACAAGTTATCCCTTTCTGATATTCTAAACGACGATTTAGACTTATATATGTGACTTAGGCGGGTTTCTATAATTTTATTCGTAATTTAAAAGTAATTATAGATTTAGATCTAAGGCTGAATGATCCAAACAGTTAGTCACAGATCTACAGCCCACCAGGTAAGATTATTAGCTCTAACACAGGTGCGGTTTATTGCGTATTGCGTAACCATGCACATGGTTCATACGACAGTTTAGTATTCTATAAACACAGAACTCATTATCGGTGACTAAAATTGAAAACAATAGTACTTTATTTCCAGATTATAATGCACATTTCCTACTTGTTTGTACATGCATAATATTGAGAATACTATAGTGTGCTAATCAAATGTTAGTTGACAGCGGGAAAATTGTTCATAAAAAGTGTGGTGTGATTGTGATTGTAAGCATAAACGCATCAGTACATTGTACATGAAATATGTGATTTTATGTATCTAGCGTAACTGTTTTTTGGCATTTAAAGTATACTGATTTCTATCTATACCTTCTTCCACGTAGAGAAACCTCTGAAGTATTAATCATTGCTTTTTTAAAAAACTTCTAATCAGGTGGAAATAATTATGAAGAGGCATCAGAATATATTCGTTCACGTTTCGAAAATCTGAACACTCGAAGTGGGTCTAAAGATGTGTATTCCCATTTTACGTGTGCAACAGATACAAGCAACATACAGTTTGTTTTCGATGCAGTAACTGATGTGATCATTAAAAATAATCTCAAGGATTGTGGATTGTTCTGATTTTTTTAGGAGTTTCTCATTCCCTTTGTTTAAACTTGATTTTACCGATAATTTAGGAAACAGGTCTTGTAAATGAACTAGTTTTTCTTTCTCGTGTGTATGCTTCGAAAATGTTTTGTCTAGCCTTGCAATTATCAAATATGATTAACACAACAGCTTAACTTTATGTATTTTTAGCAGTATCAGTATTTAGTTACAATTTTCAAAGTAATCTGTTAGGTGTTGGATAGGATACAATCTCATCCTTTTCAAGTCAGGTGTTTTTATGAATGTGTATACCAGTTGTAAATAAATTTGTTATTAATTTGCTTTACTTGTTTACATTCTTAAACCCTTGGTTCAACCGTTTAGTAGACAAATGATGTAAATCTGTGTGTTCTGCTATTAAAAATGATATGGTGGTTAGGGTTCGTTTAATTTCCACTTTTTTGAAGCGGAGTTTTATGTTCCAGGTTACTTTTGATTAACGTATTTTCCAATCGCTTGAATCGCTCGCACTTCTGGTCACCTGTGCGAAATAGAAATGAGAATATTTCGTTTCCAGAAGGATAATGCAAGCAGTGGATCGTAGTTACTAAGCTATTCCAGTTATTTGCATCTCATCGTAGACAGACAGACAAGAACAACATAGTACCACGCATTACTGCGTACATTTCCAAGCTCCCACACCTCATACCAGAACATCAAGCGAGAAAACAACTAAAAATAAGTAATGAAGAATAAAAGAACACTAAGTTCGATTAAGATGAACATAATATGTGTCCATCTACACCGCAGATAGATCTTAAGCCATGTTACCTATAACCTCCAGTCCCAGGTTTCTGTTGTCATCATTTCTCCAAACGATTCAGAGACTGTCATGTTTTATTTTGGCCATCTCTAACATTTTTCCAGCCTAAAGGTACTTCAGCTAGGATTATGTGATGAGGCAGATATTGACTAGATGTGCGCAACACATACCCAAGCCATCTGAGTCGATGAAGGTTCACAATCGCATCAGCTGACTTTCTTCCCTGAAACTCTACTCCTGACTTCTGCCTCACGCACTGACATCACGGCACACGGTCTATCCTATGAACGAAGTGAAAAAAGGGAACGAAGAAAACGATAGTCGAATTCATGAAGTTTTCTCATATCTCCCACCTTTAATTACCATGTTCCATAATCACACACTAGAACACAGCGAACTGCGGTGCAGTGCACTCGACCCTTAATAAACAGTCGGATATCATAACGGTGACGCATATGGTCCTTTTTGTTATGGTTTCGAAGGCTAATAGTTATATATATATATATATATATATATATATATATATATATATATATATATATATATATATATATATATATATATATGTATATATAATACGCGCGCTTAGCTGACAGCTAACTTGGTACGCAAGAGCCACTGACTGCAACCCCGGGACGAATAGAGAGAAGATCGAAGCTGGCGTATCGTAGAGTGTATTACTCCGAGAACATAATAATAATAAGTATACACATGAAAAATGACCTTGTCCGCGATTGGAGAAATTTGCATAGTAAGAGTAAAGGTTAACCAATCAGCGAATTACATTACAATGGGAGCAGAAAATAGACTATTAGTCATGCCGTAAAAATGGTATGGGAATGACACGTTAAAATGTTCAGATCAATAACAATGTTTTATACAAAACTGAGGCATCACAACACTTTTGTATTCATGTGGAGATTTAATCTTGCAGTGGTCCACCAGGGCTTATCTTACTTCCCAGGTAAGTGAAGTGTTCAACGTGCCCAACCACTTCACTCTATTGTTACACAAAATACCAGTGAAGACCATTCTTGGAACAACAATTCGCACCTTTCTGATGAGATAGACATCTCAAATTGCCGATCAGTGTCGATGAGACTGCCTGTTGTCGTTTTCACCTAATGTCTGCGTACTCTGGATATGCCAAGGATTCTTTTGTGATTAGATCAATCCTAGTGAAGTCAGATTATGAGGGGGAGACCTCTGTAGGTACGTCAATGATAAAGTTGGAAAAAAAAATGGAAGGAGTAAACATCCTTGACAAACACCACTCAACGTACTTAACTCACCATAGGCTGTAACACCCCATTGGCTGTTTGGGTACAGAGACTTTAACAGGGTAATGTTTGTTCGGCACCCCTTTCAAGTGGCAGACACAGTCATGAGACATGACAATCGACGGAATCGAGTGCCGCCTTCAGATCGAGAAGCGCGGCCGGTGTGGGGGATCGTTAGATGCGTATGTATTCTAGACCGTAGCGGTGGGTGAAAATATGGTCGATACATCCATGACAACTTGAGCCGATGCACTTATTTGCGAGGTTCTACGTTCGTTTTGTCAGTCTTCCGACTAGGTGTGGAGTTTGTCCAGTCTTCTCAGATTAGCTGTTCCCAACCACCACTCAGACATCTAATGATTTTAGAAAATAGAATCTTAGACACTATTTTCGTTAGGCTGGTTTTCGCAAGGGGATTTCTCATCTTTATTGAAGGCTTGGACAATCAGTGATTGAGACCAGTCAGAGAGGATCGTATCTGACACCTGCACATAATCTGACCAAAAATCTTCTACCGCGATTAAACACTTTTCATACTATTCGGTTTGGCCCATCTGCCTTTCTTCGTCTCAGGTTACAGCTTTCTCAACTATTGTAGATGTTTTAATATTTATAAACATATATTTAAATAGTTGATAACGTGCGGGTTTTATTCTCTGAAGAAGCGATTCCCATGAAGTCAGAGGCCAGAGTAATTTTTTCGACCTGATTGGGATTTTGCAAATGTACTTCATTTTTAATCCACTTACCCAATGCTCAACATATCCAACTTTGTCACGTCGGATTTTGATTTGAAGTTTATAGCTACATCCTAAAGTTAGCGAACATCAGTGGATGTAGGCAAACTCGTCTGAAATGATGGATGCTAGAGGACTGATTGCAGCTGGCGCTGCTCACAATGCAAATCGGAAGCAACTTCAACGTAAATTGGCGAAGGTGTTCGCAACGATTGTAAGCAGTGGTTGTTGTTAAACGCAAAAGATATGTGGAAAGAATCAAGATTAGGTAATAACCGGCAAATATTACTCAGGCTTAATAAGGATATTCAAACAAGAAGACTGGTTAGATCCTTACTGAAGATGAGACGCCGATAACCCCGCACGATAAATGGCTAGGACGTTGGGTGGAACACTGAAGCACCATCCAAATAACCCACAGCAACGCTTCAGTTGCCCAGCATCCAGCCTGAACCTGAATGGGATGTAGATGTTGGTCCTCCAACTCGTTTCGAAGTCGAGAAAGCTGTTTCTAACTTGAAACGATGCAAAGCGTCTGGATTTGATGGTTTAGTACCCTAAGTTTCCAAAGGTAGTGGTAAGAAATTTTTGACTAGAGTTGTGGTTGTACTACGTAGTATATGGGAATCAGAAGTAGTGCCGTCAGACTGGTCTACTTCACTTATCATTCAAGTTTATATGAAAGAAGTCCTTTTGTAACAGTTATGGAGGAATCAGTTTGACTAACATTGGTTTTAGGATCCTTGTGTCACTGATTATCCGATATCTGACTGGTGGACGAGAACAGCGAACTAGGGAAAACCAGGAAGTTCTCAAACCTGGAGAAGAGTACGTCTATCAGATTTTCACCCTTCGTCTGGTTCTTGAACATGCCCATAATTCCTGGCGCCAGACAAGCCATATTTCTTGACCTGAATGCGGGATTCCACTCTGTGGATTGTAAGGTGTCTTGTCAGTGTCTGACTGTGAAAGGAGCATCGAGCAAATATATAACCCCAATGAAACCCCTTTATTCCTACTAGTGCAGCTGTGTAAGTGCTTATTGAGAGTTTTCATGTGAAATGACGCCAACTAATGGTGTCCGCCAGGGATGCCTACTGTTGCCGTTCCTATTTAGTTTTGTTATAGATGTACTAATGGACATTACCTTAGGTACATCTGACTTCATAGGGATTGATTTACTCCATAGACGTCATCTGGCTAACCTGGAGTATGCAGACGATATTGTCCTGATGGGTGAAGTCGCTGACAAGATGTAGGGTTTACTGAACATGTTTAGCAGAAATCTGAGTATGTTAGACATCCGTTTCGCATCTGTCAAACGTGAGATGATGGTCTTAGACTTGTCAGCATCTACCTCTAGTTTAATGATGGGTGGTGAAGTGGTGGAATGTGTCGACCACCTCACTTACTTGGGAAGTTGCATCAGCTGGAACAAGCAGGTTGGTGATGAAATGTCAGTTCGGATACAGAAGACCCATCTGACATTTGCCAACTTGTGTCGCCTGTAGTGCCTATTGGCGAGATATTTGACTATCTATGTAAAGACGACTATACTGCACTGCAGTCCGTTCTGTTCTGTTATACAGCTATAAAATAGCCTTTCAAAATAAAAGACACGAAAGGTTTACAAGTTTTTGAGCACAAGTGTGTTCGTATCACTGCCCACGTTTGATGGAATCGGCATGTTAGCAATTCTGGCGTCGTGCGAAGGGTACTAAACAAGAAAGGCTATTCGGTGGATGAGGCTGTGGACCTTCATTGACTGAGATGGCCCATACGTGTATTGCGTATACCGAGCCACTGCCTACCTTGACCTGCGATGCTGATGGAAGTTGAACTAGTTTGGCTACATCAAGATCTGGCAGCAGTCGATGGGATCTCTTTGCTGGTCAGGGCCATCTGGGGGAGGGTATCAACTTCCTGCCTGGTTTCTCTGAGACGAGACGAATTAGTGGTTGAGGACTTTTGGTGACATGATTGAAATTCAGTGGCAATGGTGCAGATGTGTTCACTGCTCTATGCCTTCTGAAGCTTGAATATTCGCACTAACGTTTGTCTTCAAATTGTTTATACTGTTACGCAACTTTACCTCCTTTAATTCAGTCCCTTGGTATCCATTCGTTCTTTGTGCTGTGAAGTCTGACAACTTGGACCGGTGTACCTGTGTCAGAGGTTCTGATTTGATTTTGT